CTTAGCAAAGATGATGGAATGGTTTGCCATTTCTTTCTCTAGCTCATTTTACAGATGAGGAAACTAAGTCAAACAGGGTTAAGTGACTTGCCCAGGGTCACACAGCGAGTATCTAAGGTCACATTTGAACTCACAAAGGTGAGTCTTCCTGACTCCAGGCTTAGTACTATATCTATTGTACTGCCTAGCTGCCCTCAACTACTTTAGTTTGCTTCTAATTTTTATCTGTTGGTCATCCTGAGTTTCATATCTTACTGTACTTGGAATGGCTGGCCTCAGTTGAGTCTCACACCAAACTTTCTTAAGACATACCTTTCCTTCTCCTTGCTGTTTTGTGAAGTAGTATGACTTATATTCTTCTATGATCCATTTCTGTAAAATATTTTCAAATTATTTATGTTGTAAAAATAGTGTTGCCCTTAACAGCTATGTCTCTCTGGATCATGTTTGCTGGCTTCATCAGATTCTGGATTCTTCTGACTTCCTCTGTGTGGCAACTGCTTTATGTTGTTGAACTCTGAGAGAAAATGATGTTATCTCAATATCTTTTTCCTTTACTATTTTCTCATTATTTTTTTTGCATTGATACCTTATGTAAACAGGTCAGGTTTAGAATATTGTTAACTACACACAATCTTTTCTCATCTATAATCTTTTTTTTTTTTTTACTAATTTGGTGTTTAGATTTTTCCTCCAACAAATTGATAGTCTTACTAGAAACAGCCAATCCTTAGGTGACTCACATTAGTAATTAGTAGTTACCTACCTGTTAAGATATAATTAAGTACACTTTTTTGCAATAAACTTTTGCACCTGCCATGCCTAGCACCTGCCAGCTCTCCTCTTTGAGGAAAGTATTCATATTATATAGGTGTCAGGCTTTTGAGTAGTCTCTAGGTCATTGACCTCTTTTCTTTCTTAATCTCGGGCCACATTTTCCAACATATTTCATAGTCCTCTCTGTGCTCACCTCTGTATTGAAGTAACTGAGTATCCAAGTATACATTGGCTTGGTTTGGTGAATTTGGATGAGTTCTTCATAGAGCTTGTCTACTTTATTCTCTGCAACAAAGGTTCTATTTTTGCTTTTGCTCATCATGATCACTGCATGGTGAGGTGACAAAAGACTCCATGAAATTATGGTTCTTGATGCACAAATATTACCTGCACAAATACCTCTTTTATCCATCTCCCTAAGAAAGACTTGGGAGTCATGCTTTAATTAGCTGTAGATTTTTACATTTTCTGGTTTCATTTAGAGTAAAACTGTCAATATTGATCTGATTCTGCTCCTCATTGTCAATCAACAAGCCAAGTTAACAAGCATTTACTATGTACCAAACCCTGGAAATCAAAGAAAGGCCAAAAAAAATTTTCTACCCTCCAAGGGATTAAAAATTTAATGGAAAAAGAACAAAAAAAATTTAATGGAGTAGACAGCATTCAAAAAACTACATACATACAAGAAATATATAGGATAAATTGGAGGTAAGCTCAGAGGGAAGGCACTAGCTTCTGTTTGGGGATAGGAAGGAGGGATGTCAGGAAAGGACTCTTACAGAAGGAAGAATTTGAAATGAATTTTGAAGGAAGCCAGCAGGTTCACACAAGGACAGTGAACATTGTAGGCATGAGCAACAGTTAGTAAAAAGACATGGGGTCATTGCTATTTAATGATTTATCCACTAAACAAGAATCTTGCATTTAGAGTACTAACTGTTAATATATAGACAATCTTAGCACCTTCTGTCCCTTTTTTCTGCTACTCTGCTACCATCACAGAAGCCACATAGGAAGGAGGGTCACTTTGTAGTTTTCATTCACAGATGGCCATGGCCAAAGTATTCATCACCCAGTGGCCTATTTCCATGCTGTTAGGCTAGTCCTCTTTAAAAAAAAAAAAAAAAAAGGATAACAGTTTGTCTTTGGAGTCACATTTATATCACATGGTACTGGCTTTAAGAACTTTGGATCACCTCCATGTCACAATGCAACTTCGGAGTAGAGCGTTTGGAAGGAAATCTGAAATATGTAAACAATTGAAAGCGAAGTATATATCTGGATAACATGCACATGTGAGAAATCAGTAAGACAGTTAATCAACATGCATTTATTTATTAAATACTTAACATATATCAGGTACTGTGCTAAGTGCTGGGCACACAAAGAGGAGAAATACGTTTTCCGCCCTAAGGAGCTCACATTCTAAGGGAGAGCTAAAATGCTATGTGTGAGTGTATGTATACACATATAAGCTATACACAGTGTAACTGGAAAGTAATCTCAAAGGGAAGGTACTAGCTTTGGAAAGTTGGGGGTGAAATGGACAAATTTTTTGACTTCATCTTTAATGAAAATCTCTTTGAAAGAATGTCCTAGGGCAGTTATTATAATATCATGTACTTGTTATAGTAGTAATAATAATAATAGCATTTGTATAGCACTTTAAGGATGACAGGTAAACACTATGATTGTCCCCATTTTATTGATGTGGAAAATGAGGCACATAAAAGTCAAGTGACTGGCCCAGTGTGACACAGCTAGTAAATGGCTGAGACAGCATTTGAACTCAGGTCTTCCTAACTCCAAGTCTTGTGCTGTATGCACTGCACCACCTAGCTGAATCCAAAACAATTATCTTGCATCAAGACAAATATAAGTTTGAATTATGGGCCTTTAAGTAAAATTGTCTTACATTTTAGGCAACCATCCCCAAGAAATTCCCTTGCTCCCCCTTCCATGGACTCCTAAACATTTCAAGAACTGCTGGCGTGGCAGCTGCACCTGAAATTACATTTCCTCCTAAAATTCCTGATGTCTCGGTTCAGCCAGATCTCCAGTGATTGACAGTTCTACAGCCGGAGAGCTTCAATTGAGAAATTTCTTCCTTTAATCCTTCCCCTGGTTATTACTAGGTATGGCAGACAGATGTATGTCAAAAGACTGGTGTGTCTGATGATCCCTTGTAGTAGAATCAGTAGAATTTAGCCTCTCATTTGGTAGAAACGGAGGAATTTTAATCAGCAGAATTCAGTAAGGTACTGTAAAAAATGAGAGACATGAGCAAAGAAAACATGGACAGGTAAAGAAAGTATGGGGACCACAAATAACTTTTCTTTCTATCAAAAAAAATTTTTTAAAAACTCCAAAAAGGCATAAATACAAACTAGGAAATGAGATGGATATAGACTGTCATATCTCAAAAGACATTAAGCCAACAAGACATAAAGCAGGATTTAATCCTTTGGGTATAGAGACAAGAGTAATGCAATATTCCCTATGTGCCTTTTTAGAGAGCCTATGAAAGTTGAGTAGATATGCTTTATTTGAGTTTGGGGGGCAGGGTATGGCTACTACCAATTTAAGCCCCCAAGTAGACCCAAATCTTATTTTGTTTTTCTCTTCAGCTCTTAGAAAAAGTCTTATTCCCTCTCATTAGAATTTTTAAAAATAATCCTTAATTATCCACATGATGCTTATTCACTTCAGGAAGTACCTAAAGACTTAAATAATAATATATTGTATTTACATTGTGCTTTTAATTTGTTAAAGCACTTCTGTATTTGCTATTTTCTGAATCACTTAAAAATTTCATCCTTTCAGGAAAAATTATGTCTCCTATCATGAGGGTTGTTTCCATGTACAAGAATTATCTTGATAGATTACAATTTGTATTCAGCTAGGAATTTCCCTGATGATTTATATACTTGTTAGTCCCCATTAAATCTCTACCCCCAACTCCTGAGCAAATTTTTCTATTTATTTAGTGGCATTCAGCCCATCAAACATTATACTGGCCATTGCTAGAAAGACCCATACAGCATTCATCCTTAACATATCTGGAGTGTTGCCATCTCATTAACAGGCTTTTGGCGGGGAAAAAGTGGGCAAAGTATCAGCCAAAGTCTAAGTACTCATAGCATCCTTCGAGCTATTATCTAACATCCCTCTTCTGGTCCCTACTAAATTTCTAAAAAGAGTTCTATAGTCACTGCTTTCATTTATTTCAACACCCACTCAGTCCTCAAACCCCTGCAATCTGGCTTCTATCCTCACCACAACCATCCTAACTTTCCAATCTTATTTCATACTATACTCTTTCAAATATAACTAAGAGTTCAGAACCACAGCCTATGACATTCAAAACAACCTCCTTATGCCCATCAATTGGTGAAGTTTTGAATAAATTTTGGTATATGATTGAGATGCAATACTATTGTTCTATAATAAATAATGAGCAGGAGGATGGTTTCAGAAAAACTTGGGAAGATTTATATGAACTGATGCAAAATGAAGTTAGAAGAAACAGGAGACCATTGTGGACACAGTAACAGTAACCTTGTAAGGATGATCAACTGTGAAAGACTTACCTACTCTGATCAAGACAATGATCCATGATAATTATAATAAACCCATGATGAAAATTGCTATCCACTTCCAGAAAGAGAACTGATGAACTCTGAGTGCAGATTGAAGCATACTTTTTTACTTTATTTTTCTCTTGTGTATGTGTGTGCGTGTGTATGTGCATTTTCTTTTGCAACTTGGCTAATATGGAAATATGTTTTGTATAACTTCACATGTATAATCGACAACATATTGCTTGACTTCTCAGGGGGGAGAAAAATAATTCGGAAAAAACTATTTTTTTTTGTTCTGTTATGACTTTATTATCCCAAAAGGGTAGGTTTAATAAGACATTTGTTGATGTTGGTTCAGAAAAGTGACAGGTGTGCTAACTACCTTTTCTGACCCTCTGCACTCTTGCCTGATGGCATAGACCTTGAGTCCATGTTTCTTCCAATTATCTTCTAGACAAGGGAAGGCAGCTAGGGATGCTCACCATTAGGGGTGGGTTTTCTGGGTCTTGTGGTCATTATTTCAGAACCTGGAGTTAGCAGGGATCATACAGTCATCACAGTTGCCTCTACCTGTATTTTGAAGTTGGGGAAACTGAGGGAAGCGATTTTCCAAGGTTATGCAGCTAGTAAGTTGTTGAATCCAAGCCTCGTGGCTCCAAGGTCAGGGCACCTTCCAGTAAACCAGAAGGATCACTGTGTTGTCTCCAAGCAGATTAGGCAATCCTGGTCCTAGTCTCTTCTCCCTGCCCTAGTCCTCCTCTGTGCACAGACCTTGAAAAAACAGTGGAAGTTACCATAAAGGGTTAGCCATGAGGCCGTCTTGGCAGCATGCCTTCTCCTTGCGAGGAAAGTGATCGTCCCCTTTCTCTCTCCTTGCCTTCCCTCCATTGTTTCTTTCTTTTTTTTTTAAGTTTTCAACATTTACTTCCACAAGATTTTGAGTTCCAAATTTTCACCCCATCTCGCCCCTCCCCCCACCCCAAGATGGCATGCATTCTGAATACCCCTTCCCCTAGTCTACTTTCCCTGCTATCTCTCCCCCGCTTCCCCTTCTATTTTCCCATAGGGCAGGATAGATTTCTGTACCCCATTTCCTGTATTTCTTATTTCCCAGTTGCATGTAAAAACATTTTTAAATGTGTTTTTAAAACTTTAGGTTCCAAATTTTCTCCCTCCCTCCCCACCCACCCTCATTGAAAAGGCAAGCTATACATGTGCAGTTATGCAAAACACTTCCATAGTAGATATGCAGTGAAAAACTAACTCTGTTTCCCTTAATCCTATCCCGTGCCCCCATTTACTCTATTCTTTCTTTTGACCCTGTCCCTCCTCAGAAGTATTTGCTTCTGATTACCCCCTTTCCCAATCTGCCCTCCTCTCTATCATCACCCTACTCTCTTGTCCCCTTCCCCTCCTATTTTCCTGTAGGGTAAGATAGATTTCCACACTCCATTGCGTATGTTATTCCCTCCTTAAGTCAAATCCTATGAGAATAAGATTCACTCACTCCCTCTCACCTTCCGTGTTTCCCCTCCACTGTAAGAGCCTTTTCTTTTCTGTTTTTTTTTGTGAGATAATTTACCCCATTCTACCTTTCCCTTTCTCCTTCTTATAGTATAATCCTCTCTCACCCCTTAATTTTATTCTCCAGATACGACCCTTTCATCTTCAACTCACTCTGTGCCCTCTATCTATCTATCTATCTATCTATCTATCCTCATACATACATACATATAATTTTTTCCCTTCAACTACCCTAATACTGACAAAGGTCTCATGAGTTACAAATATCATCTTTCCATGCAGGAATGTAAACAGTTCAACCTTAATAAGTCTCTTATGATTTCTCTTTCCTGTTTACCTCTTCATGTTCCACATGAGTCTTGTATTGGAAAGTCAAATTTTCTATTCAGCTCTGGTCTTTTCATCAAGAATGCTTGAAAGTCCTCTATTTCACTGAATGACCATTTTTTCCCCTGAAGAATTATACTCAGTTTTGCTGGGTAAGTAATTCTTGGTTGTAATCCTATCTCCTTTGCCCTCCAGAATATTATATTCCATGCCCTGCAGTCCCTTAATGTAGAAACTGCTAAATCTTATGCTATCCTGATTGCGTTTCCACAATACTTGAATTGTTTCTTTCTGGCTGCTTGTAATATTTTCTTCTTGACCTGGGAGCTCTGGAATTTGTCTACAATATTCCTAGGAGTTTTCCTCTGGGGATCTCTTTCAGGAGGTGATCGGTGGATTCTTTCAATTTCTATTTTGCCCCCTGGTTCTAAAATTTCAGGGCAGTTTTCCTTGATCATTTCTTGAAAGATGATGTCTAGGCTCTTTTTTTGATCATGGCTTTCAGATAGTCCAATAATTTTTAAATTCTCTCTCCTGGATCTATTTTCCAGGTCAGTTGTTTTTCCAATGAGATATTTCACATTATTTTCTAATTTTTCATTCTTTTGGATTTGTTTTACAGTGTCTTGATTTCTCATGAAGTCACTAGGTTCCAATTGCTCTATTCTAATTTTTAGGGAAGTATTTTCTTCAGTAATCTTTTGGACTTCCTTTTCTATTTGTCCAAAATTTTTTGCTTTTTAGGGCATTCTTCTCCTCATTGGCTTTTTGGACCTCTTTGGCATTTGGGTTAGGCTATTTTTTAAGGTGTTATTTTCTTCAGTATTTTTTGGGTCTCCTTTAACAAGCTGTTAACTTGCTTGATTTTCTTGCATCACTCTCATTTCTCCTCCCAGTTTTTCCTATACTTCTCTTACTTGCTTCTCAAAATCCCTTTTGAGCTCTTCCAAGGCCTGGGACTGATTCATATTTTTCTTGGAAGTTTTGGATGTAGGAGCTTTGACTTTGTTTTCTTCTTCTGGTTGTATGTTTTGATCTTCTTTGTCACCAAAGTAAGATAGTATAGTCTGACTCTTTTCGCACTGCTTGTTCATGATCCCAACCAACTACTTGAGTTTTAAACTCTTTGTTAAGGTAAAAATCTGCTTCCAATGTGAAGAGTGTACTGTCCCAAGCTTCGGCGGTTTGTACAGCTGTTTCCAGAGATACTTCTAGGGACCTGAAAAGTGCCATTTCTTCCAAGGTGCTATGATTAGGGGCGAGGTGTTTCCTCTCTACCTCCACAACAAGCTCTGCCACACCAGTGCCCTCCTGGCCAGCGCCCTTCCTCGCCCCAGGACTGCCCGTCAGAACTGTGACCCAGATCCAAGCACGGGCAAAGCAAGAGATTTCTGCCTCAGCCCTGGCAAAGAGATCCTTGCAAGACCCCTCTGATCAGCCACTTGATCCGCCCCCGTCTGTGGGCCGGAAGCTCAGGACACAGCCATTGCCCCGAGGGCACGCTCTGGACTTGTGGCTGAGATCTAGCTTCTCTCACCCCAGTCACAGGCTTTTCCCACTGACCTTCTAAGTTGTCTTTGGCATTCATGGGTTGAGAAGTCTGGAAACTGCCACAGCTGCCTGTGATTCAGTCCTCTGAGGCCTGCTCCAGGGTCGCTGCGGCCTGTGCGCCCACACCAAACTGCGTTCTTCTCCCAGTCGGGCTCAATATACCTTTCCAATCAGCCATCCAGGTTGTCTTGGGCCAGAAATTTGTTTTACTCTGTTTTTTTGTGGGTTCTGCTGCTTTAGAATTTGTTTAGAGCCATTTTTATAGGTATTTGGAGGGGTTTGGGGGAGATCTCTAGCAAGTCACTGCTTTCCCTCCACCATCTTGGCTCCGCCCCGGAAAAAACTATTTTAAATGAATGTTAATTTTAACAGGTAATTAGGAAATATTTAACAAAAAAAAATTTTAAATAAAAAAACAAACCCCTTTCCCTTTCTGGTAGTTTTCTGCCTTCCCCAGAGACCTATAAAGTACTCCAGACTTATAGTACTACTCTAGGTCCCTCATCACCATTAAGGGAAAGTATTCAAAGTTGCTAGAATCTTAAGAAATACTTCCCTCAGGTGAGTTCCACTTTCCCAGGGACCACTATGGTCCTACAGACTTCCAGTACTTTCCTTAGGGGGACATATCAACAAAAGGGAAAAAATTAGAATTACCAGAAAGTCAAGCAACCCTCACTTCTGGTAAAACCCACCTTCCATCGGGACCAGCCCAGTCCATAAGACTCACAGTACTAGGGAAGGGATAGATACCAGTAATATCTCCCTAAAATGCCAATCCTTTTTCCCCTTCACATCTCCAGGCTGAGATAACTCTTTCTGTCCTTCAGGATCTTCGGTTCAGCCTGTGTCTGTATATATGACTCTAGTTCTTCAATTTAAGTAGTTCTCTAGAGGCCTATGTGGTTCCAATGTACTCTTTCCCAGCAATCAAGTCTGTGTCTATGTGTAGCTCACATTCTTTCAGTTGCAATCCCTCTCCAACTCTCTTGAGTCTGCATTTAGCAGCCTCCTTTGAAAAGCTAAGCCCAAGCAGACAGGGACATGAACTAGCTATGAGTTACACCTTTAAACTGAATAGAATGGAGATGAGAGAACACCACCTACATATCTCCACCAAGTTAGGCATCACAAGCATTGGAAGAACCTCCCTTTCACCCAGGTTCTTGTGCTTTGAAGGACCCTGCTTATCATAAGGACAAAAATTAAGATAAAAATGAAATATGCAGGATAAAGCAAAATAATTATGAATGACCTGCGCAACAACAAATCTTCCCATATTTATATGGGTTGTATTGCATGGGGCCAGCCAATTATCCTGCATTATGCAGTGTGAAGGTGGTGAAAAGGTAGAAGTACAGCAACATGTCTTGTAGTAGAATATGGGGGCCATAAGAAAAGTGTACATTTGGGGCTGAGGCAGCAGTCCGTCCAATCTAGAGACAAGCTCTGCTCTTCACCTGGTGCCAGTTTGATCTGGATGAGCTGTTGGAGCTTGTCCAAACAAGTTTAATTCATTACCTCCTTCCCCCTCCGTAGACCCAGCTATTCCAGCTCAAACTGGAACTTGGTGGGTATAGGAGGGAGGGAGAGGACATCCTCATGTTGCCCCAACTCTCAAGCCACCTGGACCAGGACTTAGCCCCAGAAATGTCCTCCACATACACATTGTTTGAACAAGAAGATGGTGGGTGAGGGAGTAGGACCATGCAATGGGGACAGGATCAGGCAACTGCCTATTCCATGGGATTTGCAAAGTCCTCCGTGTGGTGCAGAAAAACAATATAGGCAAAAGCATCATAGATCCTCTCTCCAACAGCAGGATGATGACACTAAAGGTAGGAATAGCCCATCAATGTCATGTTTCTACATTGAGTGCCTGTTTCCATCATACCCCCAAATGCCATGGGATGGACCCAAGCACTCAGTGGAAACATTTTTAAATAAACATTTAATAAGCACCTATTATGTGCCAGGTACAGTGCTAAGTGCTTTACAAATATCATTTCATTTGATTCTACAAAAACCCTGGGAGGTAGGTGCTATTATTATCCCCATTTTACAGATGAGGAAATTGAGGCAGACAGATGTTACATGGCTTGCCTCATGTCACACAGCTAGTAAGTGTCTGAGGCAGGATTTGAACTGAGGTCTTTCTGACTCCAGGCCCAGCACTCTACCTACCTTCCTGCCTTCCTCTATCTACCTTCCTGACTTCCTCTATTCACCTTCCTCTATCCATTCTGTACCACCTTCCTGCCTAGTAAACATTGCCATATGTCTGTATCAACTATTTAAAAGTAAGTTCTACTTGATTTCATTTTCTTAAATTATAATTTTGATATATTCCATATTTAATATAATTATTATTAATTTCAAGAATGACGGAGTTATTGCATCTAAAATTTCAAAAAAACAGGATACTGTGAAACACACAGTATCACCATTCCATTCTCTGTTTTATTTGTACTGTCAACATTACAAAAAAATTTAAATAATGATTTAAAACAATAATTTAGTGTAAGAGGTAACAAAAATTTTCTTTAAAAACATCTGTTTCATGAAAACTAATATTATCAGGGCTTTTTGTAATGCAAAATGTACCAAAACAGAATTCCAATCTGTGATTAAAAGTTTTCATTTATTGTGTTTTATTCTTTAACATACTGTTAAAAAGGGGCAACAATTTCAGTTTTCTTGCAATGTGCATTATTGGTGAGCCATACTAGGCTATTTGATGTATTCTTAACCTGCAGTTATCAGCTATTGAATGGTGTTGAAAGTACTTTCTGAAAATGTAACTGTATCAGGTATTTAGGGCATATTCAGGAACTGTGGGCAGAGTAGGAAATAGATGAGTTGTCATGGTGTAAACTATTTTTTTTTTAATATAGGATGAATAGTGTTGCAGATGGCCAGGAGGATGATTGGGAAGATTCACCCTTTCGCAGTCAGTGGTCCTACGTGCTGCAAAGAATTGTAACATGAATGGCTCAGCGAATTACAACAGTAATCCAGATTTAGATGGTTATTTCAGCTCTGTACAGTTTAGTGTTTTAAATCACAGTATCTCTTATGAAAAGGGCCCATGAATTTTGTTATAGATTTTTTAAATCAAATTATTTCTATAGATAGGGTCCCCCACAAAAAAAAAAAAATTTGCCTGGCTCACTAAATACCCTAAGGATGGCCCTCAGTATCGATCTTCAATATTTTTATTGTGTATTCCTATTAGTCCCAAAGACTTGAGCATGTGCCCTCTCCATATTTATATTTATTCATAAATTATATGCTTATACTACTGTGCTATCAGGTTTTTTTATTTTTTTATTTTAGACAAATACTAAAACTTGAATACATAATAAGAAAAGAAAAAGAAACATTAAAAACTTAAATATAAAAGAAAAAAAGAAAAAAACACATCATACATGCAACAGAAGATAGGAGAGGATTCAGAATATATAGCAATAGCTTTCCATTTCAAGAAAGCCTATATATTAAATACTGTGCATTATATTGAAAGCTGTCCATCTTTTCTTTGCTTCCTTGTAGATTGCTATCAGATTTGATAAGTTTAATATTATGTAATTATTTTTAGAAATAAAAAATTTTTAAAGGATGAGCTAAATGTCAAATATACAATAATTCAAAAATAACTATTTTTAATTCTATAGTACAAAAATGTTTTTTGTTCTAACTAAATCAGGGAAACCCACAGCCTTGAGACCACATGGAGCCCTCTAGGTCTTCAAGTGCGGCCCTTTAGCTGAATCCAAACTTCACAAAACAAATCCCCTTAATAAAAGGATTTGTTTCTGATAAATAATAGTATAGTGAGCAAAGTAATTTACTATACTTTAGTATCTGAAGGTCTGTTTCTAAGTTCATTTTATTTCGATATTTGGTTTTAATAGCTTTCAAATCCGAAAAGATGCCTCAAAAAGATACATAGGACCAAATGGAAGAATTTCATTATTGGCTGTACATTACTGAATTTCAATATTGTCATAATACTCATTTTTTTCTCTTCCCACCAATTAGGTAAAGATTTCAACTGAAACTCAGCTAGAACTTCCATCTTCACTAATGTCAATCAATTGTTCTAGAAAACTAATACAAAAGTGCTGCATTGATGTATCTTTCACAAATAGGTTCAAAAATCCTCCAAAATTCTTCATTTAAGATATTTTTAAATAGGTTTAACCATCATTTTGAAGTTTTTAAAGTGTGAAGTTTCAAAGTTTGCTGTTAGGGGCAGCTTGGTGGTATAGTGGATAGAGCTCCGGCCTTGGAGTCAGGACGACCTGAGTTCAAATCCGGCCTCAGACACGTAACACTTACTAGCTGTGTGGCCCTGGGCAAATCACTTAGCCCCACTGCCTAGTCAAAAAAAAGAAAAAAAAAAGTTTGCTGTTGTTATTCAGTGTTTTTTCAGTCAAGCTCAACTCTTCATGGTTCGATTTGGGGTTTTCTCGACAAAGATAATGGAGTGGTTTGCCATTTCCTTCTCCAGTTCATTTTTACAGATGAGAAAACTGAGGCAAACACAGTTAAGTGACTTGCTAGTAAGTGTTTGAGGCCAGATTTGAACTTAGAAAGATGAGTTTTCCTGAATCTAGGCTTGGCACTCTAACCACTGCACCACCTAGCTGCCCTAAGAGTTTTATAGGTAACCCATTTATATCATTTTTGGCAGGAAGAGTTTAGTTTTTAAATGCCTCACTAATAGTAGTGACTTCATACTATCATTTGCTAATATCTCAAGGCATAATACATGTAAAGGAAAAGATTCATCTTTAATGATAGTGGATATGAATTCATATTTCAAATAATCTTATTAATAATTTTGGAGGCCAACTTCTTGTCAGTTTTAACCTCCAAATGAAGAGCTCAATCTGGAACTAAAAATGTCACTCCACCATTTTCTTAGTCTTCATTCATGTTTGCCTTCTTAGTATTATTGTCAATCTGACATTTTTTGAGTAATCTTTTTAAGCCACTTGCCTGTTTCAGGAGAGCTATTTTAAATAAAGATAATATCATCCATTAATCCACTTAAATGGACAGAAATAATCTAGAATATATCACAACAAGCTGAAAATGAACAAACAAGTATGGGGCTTGCTATCCAACCCACTATGTTGCAAACTCCCACTCTGCTCAGAATTAATAACAACAACAACTACAGTACTTGGCATTTACATGGCACTTACTGGCACTATGCTAAGCACTTTGCAAATACTATCTCATTTCATCCTCACAACAACTCATGGGGTTAGGTGCCATTACTATCTCCATTTTACAAATGAGGAATAGAGTTGAAGCGGCTTACCCAGAGTCAATGCAGTTGTAAATGTTTGATGCTGGATTTAAACTCAGAACTTCCAGACTCCTGATTCAGTGTTCTATTCACTATACCACCCTACTATTATCAGTAGTTGCCTGAATTAGAGTGGAGGCAGTGGGAATGAAAAGAAGGTAATTAACGGAAGAGATCTTGCATAATTTAATGATCTGTGTTCTCTATCTTTGGGTCCCCTCCATGCATGTTCTCTATGTGTGTCCACTTATCCCACTCATGATGAATATACTTGTAGGACAGTGTGCCCCTGGTTTGTGGTGGAAATGTTCTATTACTATTTTTCTTATTATGCTTGTTCACTAAATGCCTTGCATTCATACCTATCATAACTGTTAATCAATAAACATGTATTAAGTACTATATGCCAGGTCACTGTGCTAGCTATTTATTTACAAGGACAAAGGATAAAAAAGTAAAAGTCAGCATTCCAGAGGGCCTTTGATCTGGGTAGCTTCTTTGAGGGTCCCTCGTGCAAGAAGGAGTTCTCTAGGTCCTAAAAACAGGTTTTCAAGATCATGTTTTATTACTAGCTATCCTCAGTGTCCTCAGATGGTCAAAAGGCATTTGTGATCCTAGAGAAAAATATATTTTCAATGAGGATTAAGTGCAGTATTTGGTCAATTAGAGTAATATGAAATTAGAATAGGAATCGAAAGAGACTTTATAAACCAACCCATACATGAATGAAATTCCCCTCTACAACATTGCCAACAATTATTCATATAATACCTATCTAAAGACCACCAGTGAGAGGGAATCCACTATCTTCTAGAGTTCATCACACTTTTCGAAAATCCTGTTTGGAAGTCTTTCCTTATGCAAAAAAAAAAAAAAACAAAAACAAAAAAAAACAAAAAACAGAAATCTGCTTCTCTCCAATTCCAACATGTTATTCTTTGTCCTATTCTTAGGTACCAAGCTTTAGAACATCTAATCACTTTTCCCAAAGATTGCCCTTCATATACTTAAAGTCAGCTATTCTGTCACCTCTCAGATTTGTTGTGCCAAAGGTTTATTGGTATATTCCTGGTTTAAAAACAGGACTGTGAAGGTCAGTGGCTAGAGAAAGGCCAACAGAGGAAGAAAAGACTTAAAGGAATTGGGAAGCTTATATATGACCAAACTAGACAGAGAAACCCTGAACTGGACCATTCGTCTTGGCAAATGGGCCAGTTTAGAGATGTACACAGATTCACAGATCAGTTGTAAGTGGATTGGAGGCAAGCAGGGAAACATGGGCTACCCTAACTACATTTGGACGGCTTCATGATAGCTCCATGTTTCCAAGGCCAATTAGGCTTAGAAGGAAAAACATAGCCAAAGAAATAAAGGAATTAAAGATACACTCTAAGGGGAAAACAGCATGACTTAGAGAGTGGTAACACTTACAAAGGGATCCAGCCAAGTACCCCATGCCAGAAAGTGATCTGAAGGTCTCCGGAGCCATAGATTTGGAAAGATCCCATTTTCCTTTAAACAAGCCCATCAGTTTGACTTCCTTGATTCATTCTAAGTCCCAGTTCTTCCCTTTTAGCCAATTCCTAGAGCACATGGAACCAAAAAACAAGCAAGTTACCATTTTTACCTACTCATACCCCTCTATTTCTACTCCAAAGATTTGAAAAGCCAAACAATCATAGAAAAGTGAATTTCAAAAACATTTGGTTCAGATTCAAATGGTTTTGGGGGGATTTGGGATGGTTTTCAGGGTTTTGTTTTTGGTTTAGGGCAAATGTGTTGATTCATTTAACCCAAATAGTCATATCCATCCCTGAGATAAAGTATCTGACAGATAGCAACCATCAGCCAAGTCTGTCAGCAGTTAAGTTGTAGTAAACATCATTGGTCTTGGTGATAGCAAACCTGAGCTATCAGGCACTGAGTTCCTGGCTGCCCAAAGAAAAAATAGGCCACGCTATTATAGCTATTGACACTATGAGCATCTAGGATGGAACAGTAGCTCTGTCTATAACAACTGAGATGGAGCCAGATAAAAGCCATAGGAACTATATATCATAATATCATATATTATATAATGGGTTATCATCACTCTACATACGCAGCAGTAAACATTCTGGTGATAAACACTGAAGAACCCTGACACTCTGGGCAAATCATTACAAGATTTGTTCTGCTAAAGAACTTTACCACTGAATATCTAATGGTTTAATCCTTCATCAAAGGCACTGTTAGTCCTATGTATCCTGCTCTCGGGCTGGGCCAAATGCTATTAGTCCAGGGCAAGTTCACCATGTCTTCTGTGTGTAATATCCAATTCTCTTAGGCTCATGTCCATAGGGCAAATATTTTTGTTTAATGGCCCACATTTATAATAATTCTGCCTTTGGAAGGATAGTTACAAAATAGCTCATGCTTATTCTTCAGTTTAGAGAACAAAACTATAACAATGGGTTGGAGGGTGGAACTCCCAGCCTTGCCTTAGGAAAGATCACTCTCTCCTGTGTGGCTTTTAGAGCTCTCCCAGCCCCTCTTGCCAAAAACAGAGACTCCAGGCAAAGTAAGGACGGGATCCGCCACAGGTGTTTATGGGAAATAATATAAAATCCAGCAAATGTGTTCTGTAACAGAATAAATTTGAAGAACTCAATTAAGCAGAAGTAAGGTAAGAGCACAATAAAGACCACTTTTCCTCCTGTCTGGTGTTCTCTCTATGTTCCCTCCTCCTACTGGAGTGAGGGCAGTGATTACGGACACAAGCACAGACACACTCACAGAGTAACACACCTCTCCCATTGTCCATTCAAAGGTACTCTTACGGTCTTGAAAAGGGAATTGTAAATATCACAGACATCAGCTGCAACGGTTGGGCTGCTGCCATGGAATGACTACTCCTTCTTCCTTCTCCTGTCTCCATTTTCCAGTTTCTTTGAACTTCCTACTGTATCCCATACAAGTGATAAATCTCTATCTTCCCATCTCAGGGATGGGACTGATTTGGCCATTACAGATGGCCTGTTATGCATGGCTAAATGAAATTTGACCCTAATCCTGAGTCAGTTGAACCACTGATGGGTCAGAGGTCCTGAAAGGTGGCTTGCAATCTAGTCCATTCCTGTCTAATAAAATATGACACAGTAAATAAAGCACTGGACCTAGAGTCAGGAACACTTGCATTGAAATCCAGCTTCAGACACTTACTAATTTAGTGAACCCGGGACAAGTCACTTAACCTCTTTCTGCCTCAGCTTTCTCGTCTGTAAAATCGGGATAATGATGGTCACCTCCTGGACTTAATACTGTAATATAGGTGTTACAGAGATAATATTTGTAAAATGCCTCACAAATCTTGAAGCATACATAAATGCTAACTATTTTTATTATGTTATGAGTCTCTATATTTGCCCATTACAGCGATTGGGAAATAGGGGAAACTCCATGTCTCTCTAGATCAGAATGAGTCATTTGGAATTTGTGAAGCTAATCCCAGGCCTGGTGTTTATCAACTAATCCACATTCTTTCACAAAATTTTGTGTCATCCAGGTGAACCAAGGCTTTGATGATATAAGGGTGGAGGTTGATGTAGTGAATTGATAAAATACCATACTTAAATGTCTTAACAAGGTAAAAAGATGTTTCAATCAATCAATCAGCCATAGGCTTTAGATTAAACATGAAAATATCTTGTGACACTGCTATGGAAATGTGTTTAGACTAGCTGAGGAAAACTGGCGATGCCCATAGGCCCTATAAGTTTTGAGCAAGTGGAGAGAAAAGAGTTCCAGCTAAGACCAAAAACTTAGCTATGGAAGGAATCTTTTGGAGGTAGGGAAGGGAGACCAGAGTCCTAGACCTTAGTCAAAGTTCCAGTCTCTTTCACTCTCCTTCCTTTACCAGAAGATGACCCTAAGAACTTCAAAGATTTGGGGAACTCCCTACCAGCATCCCAAGATCAACTAATAGCAGTATCTGCATTTGCAGCCAAGCATAGACTTATATACATTCACAACTCTGTTCAGAGCCCAGCAGAAAACTCCATGTTACCTAAGTGGAGCATCTTGAGGCCAGAAAAGGGATTTCCAAGAGTTGTGACATGTCCTTTGTCACATATGCTCTCCAAACTACAGTCCACTTTCCCCTGTATTCTGTATATACCTGTAGGAAAGAATGTAACAGACTTGTGAAGAGAACTATAAAATTGTAGTAAAGATTCCTTCTTAAACGCTTATTAAGTCTGGCTGAATAATTGATATCAAGTAGTGACCAGTACAGCTAGATGGCTGAGTGAATAGAGCTCTGGGCCTAAAGTCAGGAACAGGTGAGTTCAAATCTGGACTTAGAAACTCACTAGCTATGTGACCTTGGGCAAGTTACTTAACTTCTGTTTGCCTAGGAGGCAGCTAGAAGTTTCAATGGATAGAGTGCTGGGCCTGGAGTCAGGAAGATTTGAATTCAAATCCAACCTCAGATACTTACTAGCTTTGTGACCCTGTGAAAGTCACTTATCCTTTGTTTGCCTTAATCCACTAGAGAAGGAAATGGCAAACCACTCCAGTATCTTTGCCAGGAAAACCCCGTGGACTGTATGGTCCACAGAGTCACAGAGATTCTGACACAACTAAACACTGACCAGGGCAGGAAAGACATGGGGGCTGTAGGGGGTCATTAGCTTTGTGAGCTATACAATACTAGACAAACAAATCCTTAGAACACTAGGAGACATGAGAGGCAACTCTCCCAACTCCTAGTGTTCTAAGGTCCAAGTGTGAGTTGGGGTAGTTGGCTTTATAATATGTTCAACGATGGAAAAAAAGGAGAAAATACTCTTGTACAGTATTCATGAGTCTTTTGAATTGCAATCATGTCTCAACTAGGAGTAGGTAACATCTATTTATAATTTTTTTAACTAGAAATAGAGAATTTAAAAGCATCCAGGACACACAGGTCTTTCTAAACAATCTAGTGGCTGGAGGTGGGAGGGAGGGGGAAGTAGAGGCGAACGCTATGAAAAATCAAGATACAGATTCATTTACCCTTAAAATACAGTTGAATTTCAAAACTAGGATGAAATAAGCTTTGGCAAAAATTAGTTTTACCAGGAGCCAAAACATTTCAAAACTACTTGAAGATTTCTGGCACATTTACAAATGGAAGATGAAAGAATGGTAAGGCACCTAAGGTAACACAAAAATTCATTAAAAAAAAGAAAAAAGGATTGTCTAATCCTGAGCACCATGCTTGGCACATAGTGGATATTTAATAAATGTCTATCTAAGTGAATCCATTTCCCAATTCCTAGTACTCTGTTCTTCCTCAAATTACCTAGTATTATATTTACCTGTGGATGTTATATCCTCCCCCCAAGTAGAACATAAGTTCCTTGAAGGTAAAGACCATGTATCTACTTTCTTTGTTCCTCCAGTGCCTACTATAAATAGTGTCTTGCATATAGTAGACTTTTAATAAAAGTTTGTTGAATTTATTTGAAGTAAAACAAGTATTAAAGCCAAGAATGTCCTAATCAAGCCACTTTTCTAACTCCATTAGTTAGAAAGACTTGGATTTTGTTCGAAGCTGAGCTCTGTCTTGATCCTGGATCAAATCTCATAGCCTCTATGCCTTGATTTCCTCATCTGTAAAAGAGGCAGTTTGACTAGATTGTTCCTAAGGTCCCTTCCAACTCTCTAATCCCATTGCTGCATATTTCTCAACCTACTTTAGGATTTTAGCATTTAAAGCAGGAAACAAGTTTGGACGCCATCTAGTCTAACTTCTATATTTTACAGATGAGGAAACTGAGGCCCAGAGAGCTTATGACTTTCCCAAGATCACACAAGTAGCAGGTAAATATCAGTTCTAGGATTCAAACCATGTTGCTGATACACAGAATGTCAGAGAGTGGTCAACTCCTCTGACAACTGATCTCTCCAAAGCTTTCATTTTTTACTACGTCTGAGTGAGTCCCCATGCCAAGGGATGACACGCCACAGCCTGGGCCTGCTGTGCCACCTTGTGACTCAGACTGAGACACTCTTGAACCCATCCTAAAATGGTGAACTAGGAAAGCACAACACAGTGGTAGAGTGTTGGACTTGGAGTCACGGGACCTGGGTTCAAATCCTGCCTCTGATGCTTATAACCTCTGTGATTCTGATCAAGTCACTTAACCTCTATGGGTCTCAGTTCCCTCATCTGTAAATTATAGGAGCTGTACTACCTGGCCACCAAGATGTCTTCTAATGTTAAAGGAAGTAAGTGTGGTGTGGTGGAAAGTACTACATTTAACGTCAGATAGAGCCAGATTCAAATTTTAGTTCTGCCTCCTAACTTACTACCAGTAAGACTTCTCTAGGTCTCAATTTCGTCATTTTTAAAATAAAGAGGTTGAATTAGACCAAGGGTTCTTAATCTGGGGTCCGTGAATAGATTTCAGGGGCTCTGTAAATTTGAATGGGAAAAAAATTACATTTTAATTTTCATTAACTTCCAATTAAAATGTAACATTTCCTTCAATTATGAATGTAGGTAGAAAACATTAGTTTGAGAAAGGGTCCATAGGCTTCACCAGATTCCTAAACGACACAAAAAACTGTTAAGAACTCTAAAGGTTAAGAATCTTATTCATCTTTGTTCCCACCAGAGTGCCTAATGGCAGTTCAGTACCTACGAGGCACACAATAAATATTTATTGAATAAATGAATTGATTAATTAATTGCTGTTGAAGCCAAAATAAATTTGGGCGCAACATTTTTATGACCTGCTATCAACACAAACAGGACGGATTACCATATAATCAGCTGACAAAAAGGTGTTGGGATAAATATCATTAGAATTTTAACACCTTAATTTAACACCTGGTTGAAAAACAAACTTGACAATTTTTTTAGAGCTGTTTTTGGCTCTTAAAGTTTATTCACTAAATGTACTTAGAGGTAAATAACTTCAAAAGACTAACAAAGAGATTTGTTAAATAATGCTGCCCTCTACTGGAAAAAGTTTTCTTTTCAACTATTGAAATAGGATCTGTTCCTTCACTTAACACACCAAAGTAGGTGAAAGACTGAAGGGGACTGGTCAGGGAGTGATTCGAATGTGATGCTAGGCATATCAGCACCGAGAAATTTTAAAATAGTCCTGCCCCTTACCAATACTAGGTGGGTGACCCTAGAAAAGTAATTTAGCCTCTCAGTGGTATAGGCAACTCTCTAAGTCCATAAATTACATAGAAGGTGCCAAGCTACACTGGAAAATGGATTTTCCTTAATTGGAAATTTCCTCTACCGATGAGATCACAGGTCCAGTCCCTGACCCTAAGTTGGTAATTTTAAGAATAATTTTACACCAAGCACAGGTTAGAGTAAATTCTTAAAGGCAGCAAACCTAGGTATGGAAAGATACTGAGACAACTTGTGGTCCTTGAGTGCAAAGTAAATTTTAGAATTTTCCTGGGCTTATTCATTAATTCCATTTTAGAATACCCTTTTTTTAATCTGTTTTAGGAATAAAAGCATTAAGTGTAGTCTCTGGCTGAATTCCATTTTGGATAATTACATTCTGCTAAATAAATACATTTTCCCTGAAAATTCAACCAAAAGTAGTATTACTCACTTCCTGTCCTATCCTGATTCATAGCAATGAATGGTTGTATTTTAGCCTACAGGGGCTTTATATTGTATAATATGATCAAATATCTGCTTCCTATATTTTTTTTTCAGTCTTATGTCCTCTGCTTCTCAGAAAAGGAGTCCCTTTACCTTTAGGTAATCTTTATACTATATCTCTCTGCCTTATCACTGGGCCCTGTAAGACTACACAGGAATTTTCCTATTGACTACTGGGACTGGAAACAAAACTTGGGTAAGACAAGTAAGGTGTCTGGCTTAGAATATATGTCAAAAGTAAAGACATGTAGGTCCAAGAGAATAGATCAGGCTGGTTCTTCCAGCAATCGCTCCTGCTTTGTTACTCTCCCCCTCTCCACTGGCTTCCTTCCCCTCTATCTATAAACATGCTTAGGTTTTCCTTGTCCTGAAAATAAAACTTAATTTGAACCTGCCACTTTCTCTAGCTTTTGTCTCATTTTTTCCTCTATTCCACTGAAAAATTTCTAGGAAATAAAAAGTCCGTATCACTGTCCATTAGGTAGACTCTGGAACAACCACTCCACTCCACTGAAACTGCTCTCCCAAAGATGACCAATGACACCAATAATCTTCTACCTGTCCAACCTAATGGCATTTGCTCAATTCAAGATCATTTTAATTCGATGAATATTTATTGTGTCCAATTTGTGCCATGCACTATGCTGGGTACTAGAGATAAAAGGATAAAAAATCAACAAGGAACTTGATCAGAGCACAGATCAATAATAATAAAAACAAGATAATTTCAGGAGGAAGAGAACACTGATTACTATGGGGTTCAGAAAAGGCTTCACAGAAAAGGATCTTGTGAACCAAAACTTAAAGCAAATAAGGATTCCGAGAGTTGGTAATGAGGAGGGAGTGTATTCTAGGCATGAGAGACAAGCTGCGCAATGATCCAGAGGCAGGGGATAAAATATGATATTGGCTTGACCTGGAATGATCTCATATAGTAAATATATTGAAAGGCAACCGGACAATAGGGAGATACAAGGTTCTGTCTGTAGTTTTATGAAAAGGACATTTACTCCAGAATATGCAAAGGGAAAACCATTTTGACCAGGTAGTTCTCTTTGGAGTAAAGAGGCTGCTAGGTGGTGCCATATTGCACAAAGCAATGGTCCTGGAGTCAGGAAGCCTGGAGTTCACTTCTAGTCTCGAACATTTACCAGCTGTGTGACGATGGGGAAGTCACAACCTCTGTAGGCCTCAATTCTTTCAACTGTAAAATGGGGATAATAATAGCACCCTCATCCCAGAGCTGTTGGGAGAATCAAATGAGATATCACTTATAAAGTACTTTGCACAGTGCCTAACACATAGTAGGCACTTCATAAATGCTCATTTCTTTCCCTACAGGCCTCTAACAGCTGGTAGTAACTATTGTGGTGAGGCTATCCTTCACTACATTGGGGTGTCATAGTGTGGCTCAAAAGGAGACCGAATCAATATCTCTTCCCTCTTCTCCAACCCTT